TTACAGGATTAGCCCTGTAAAGTGGGGAAAAACAAAAGGAGATTTCTTCCAACGATCAGTTCTCTGAACTACTTAGAAAGTTACCAACCGGTTCTCTCGAATAGGTGCGAACCGGCTGAATCCCACCACTGCAATGGATGGATAAGACTAACAAGAAGCATCATTCTTATGTGGGGTGGGGTTTACCCATAGGTTGCAGCTGCAGAGCTTGGATGTCCAGTTTAACGTTGCAGCCGCTCGTGTTGCACTGGCGCAGCTGCGAGAAGGCGAAGATGCCATGCACCTCCACCGCCTTGTCATTGGTTCCTGATATGCCCGCTCCGCAGCCCTTTTCACCAACGGAGAACTTCCCGTGACCTGGAAGAACAAAGAGGTTACAGAGGAAGTAACCTGGACCTTAATTAAATGTAATCTACTGTCCCTGCGGTACGATCTAAGCGCAGTCCACAAAATTGTCTGCTACAATGTCCTACCTGTCAACGATTTCTTCGGCTTCAACCTCAATAACACACGGGCAAAAAATCGATACAAACTCAAGGTTAACCGCTCCAAACTCGATTGCAGAAAATATGACTTCAACAACAGAGTGGTCAACGCCTGGAATGCTCTACCCGACTCTGTTATTACAGCCTCAATCCCCCCCCCCCAGCTTCAACCTCAAACTGTCCACCATGGGCCTCACCCCATTCCTAAGAGGTCTGTAAAGAGGGCGTGCATAAGTGCACCAGCAGTCCTACCATCCCTGTCCTACTATCCCCATTTATTTGTATTTCTTTCTTTCGTTCATGTCCATGTTTATATTAATACCTGCTGTCTTGTACATGTTTGCCAAACTAATAAATGCAAATAAGATGGCTTAGAACAGGCCTCGCCATGATGGTGACCTTCTGGACTTCAACTCCCAGAATTCCCCTGTCGGCCACAAAAAGCATTCACTGTCTGATGGAGGGAGGCGGGGTGGGGGTGGGGGGAAACCTGGGTACCAGTAGTTACAAGTTGACCATGGAATCAATGTGTATGTTGCTTCTTCTCTCCATATGTGGGACCTTCTCTCCAGAATGTGTAGCCTCCTGCCCTTCTATCCTAACCCAAGTTAATTCGTCAGGCTTAAGAGCCAAGGTGGCGCAGTGGTTAAATGCAGCACTGCAGGCTACTTCAGCTGACTGCAGTTCTGCAGTTCGGCTGTTCAAATCTCACCAACTCAGGGTTGACACAGCCTTCCGTCCTTCCGAGGTGGGTAAAATGAGGACCCGGATTGTTGTTGGGGGCAATATGCTGACTCTGTAAACTGCTTAGAGAGGGCTGAAAGCCCTATGAAGCAGTATATAAGTCTAACTGCTATTGCTACTTTAATTCATTAGGAGAAAATGCCATCC